TGCTGGATTTGTGCATATCAATTGAGGAGGTCTTTTGTACAGTTAATGGCTCTAAATTGCCCATTCAAAAGGAACATAATGGCAGCTAGGCTCTGTATATTTTGTCCGAGGCTACACGGGCTAGCTTTTCTCGTATAAGGCACAGTAGGGAACTCCCAACCTCTGGTTTCATACGAGGCCAGATTTTCTCGTATAAGGCACAGTAGGGAATTCCCAACCTCTGGCTTCATACTGCAACTCAGTGAGCCAGCCAGCCAGCCAGCCACATTCAATGCGAAACGATCCACAAACAATTTTCATACGCAACTCAGTGAGCCAGCCAGCCAGCTACATTCAATGCGAAACGATCCACAAACAATACACCTTACAACGGAAAAGCTTGGCAACAACATAGAAATCTTGGGAATATCCATTTCTCTCCCATCTGCTATGTGGGTTGCAGCTAAACTCACAGGCAACAGGAAAACCCGAGTGGATGGCTGGTGATGTCATAGTCCCTGCTATTCAGAAAGTCCCCAGTCTTCAATCCTCCAAGCCCTGGCTCCACTACACTATCAAAAACAACTCCCTCCCCTCCTCCATGGGACTGGGGAACAGGAAAGGGAGGCGAGAGTCCCTCCAGATTTGGGGAGCTGCTCAGAGGGCCATCAAAGCCTGAAGACGCCCAGGGTGTACACCCATCTCTTGAAAAGCAGAATATATTTTGCCATATTCTGTATCACACAGTTTTGAATGCTACAAGGTAGAAGTATAGAGAATCACAGAGCTAGAAGTCCCCCAAACAGTCTCTTCTCATGAACTAGTACTTAAAGTCTCAATAACTTACTCTGAGACATTTGTAGGAGAAAGCATAAAAACATTTCCTTACTTAAAGTAGTGAACAGATCGAGAACAAGCTAGCCACAAACTGCTTCGAAAAAATTAAAAGAGAGGGAAAGGAAGCGCTCAGCTGAGAGGCGGGGCTCTCCTTGAACTCAGAAGCAGGAGGGAATGATTGGTTAGTGCTGGATAGATTGACAGTCACCCCAACCCAGAAAAGGTCCCTCCCAGTCACTCAAGCCAGAGGCAGCATGCGAGGTTCTAAAAACAGGTTGGACAGCTGCCTCTTAATCATGGTGTTTCACTCCCATGAACCCAAATGAACAGTGAATTTACTGGAACATGAGCGAACCCGGAGCACCAGTCAGATTCGGGAAGCCTTGCATTTCAGAATTGCAGGCAGCTAGGAGGATTCTGAAAGATACAGAGATCAAAAAAGAAGGTTTTTCAACTCTGCTCATATCATGCTGCAGGTTCTGTAATTCAGGAATATGGCCCTGAAACGAGGATGCACGTGAGTGTCCGTTTCATGTATGGATAGTCAGTCCCACTTTCAGCCAATCAGCTTAAGACACTATGCATGGCTCCGCCCTTCCCTACTTTGTCTCACGACAACCCTGTGAGGTCGGTTAGGCTGGAGAGAATAACTGGCCCACCGTCATTCAGTGAATAACTGGTCCACAGCTGAGTGAGGTCATGAACCTGGATCTTCAAAGCCAGATCCATGTATGCAATTTAAAAAATAATTAAAAATCCCACCAACAAGATTTTAGAGGGATAAATAAAAGACTAATTTCTCTCTAAGAAATAATGTGTATGTCTTCCTTTCCTCACAGTGCCCTGGTCTGGAGCATTCTGGGGAAAACAAGATGGTAGCCCATCCCCTAGATGTGTCTTGAGGCATTCTGGGAAAAGCAAGATGGCAGCCGATGGTTGCTAAGCAACAGCAGCAGCAGCAAAAAAGCCAGTAGATGCCAGTGGCATCATCTATTGCCATTATCTGAAAACTTTTTAGCGTTTATAGAAATCTGCAGCATTGTTCCCAATGCTCGGATGAGTACGGGGACCACTGAAATGCTTGATAAGGGAAGAATTATTGAGGAGAAATGGAAAATGAAGCCTTTATCTCTTGATGGGTGTGTTTGTGTGTCTGTAGTGTGATATTAGTTTGATTTTTTAAAAAATATTTGTATATTTACGGTTTTTAGCTTTTAAATATTTTCTTTTAATGATGTAAGCTGCTTTGGGTCCCTTTGAAGGAGAAAGGCAGGGTAAAAAATATATTAAATAATAAATAAATAAATACATTGAGAAACAATGTTGCTGAAGAAGAAAAGGACATTGTTCCCATTGTTAAAAATGTACCCCCGTTGTTCTGACTTGCTACAATGTTGTTGAATGGACGCATCAAATTCCTTATGTTGCTGGTTGGTTTTCCCACAGGAAAACTGGAAATATTACATTTTTGGCCTACAGCCAGAACTCAGGGGGACTCAAAGCTATAGGCAATCATCATCATCATCATCATCATCCCAGAGGCATTGGAGCATTAGGAAGAATGTGCTCTCTCTATATACAGTATACAATGTGGTAAGATCTCAAAACTACACAGAATAGAGTTTTAAAAGGGCAATATCATAAAAGCATTATGAAGTGATGACAGTTGAAAATACTGTGGAATAACTAGAAGCAGACAATTTCCTGCACAAAACATCTGACACAGAGGGAATATATTTAAAAACTGTGGAACATTTTAAAATCAAAATTAAATGGTGGAAATACAATTGAAGCCATAAATACATAAGCAGTTCCAGTAATTACCCTGCTTCCCAGAAAATAAGACCTAACCTGAAAATAAACCCTAGTATGATTTTTCAGGATGCTCGTAATATAAGCCCTACTCCAAAAATTATTATTTATTTAATTTATATGCCGCCCACACTACCCAAAGGTCTCTGGGTGGCTTACAACATTTAAAATACAATAAAAATTCAGAACAATTAAAATACAATTAAAATATATATAAAAATTGCCATCGGACCTACAGCTAATATTATTTCAATTAAAAGCCTTCTGGAACAGGAAGGTTTATGACCTGGCACCGAATTGTCATCAGTGTGCCAGACGAATCTCAGTCGGGAGGGCATTCCATAGTCTGGGGGCA